GCGTTCGTGTGCCTCCCTCTCTCTCTCTGTGTCTCTGTGTGTGTGTACATGTGTGTGTGTGTGTGTGTGTGTGTGTGTGTGTGTTGAGAAGGCCTTGATGGATTGTCTTAATATTTGGTAGGTGGGTAGGTCGTGATGACACCTTAAGATGATTAGATTTTGGTTCACCTGGCGGCTTGTCATGGTACTGCAGCAGAGCTTCCGGTTTCGATTTCTAATGATCCGATGAGATGGTAGGTGGCTCTTGTGCTGGGGATGAAGTGACATGAGTTTGAGCCCCCTAGCTGCTTGCTCTGGAACTGCAGGGGCGTTTGTTAAAAATGTTTAAAGGAGGATAACTCTAGAACCGATTGATAGATCGTTATGATTTTTGGTATGTAGGCAGCTTAAGTGATAGTTGCAATAATTATGAAAATATGGATGTAATTAATAATTAAATGCATAATGACAGCCTGGAATTTTATACTTGGGGTATTTGAAAGTTAAGTTAAGGTGAACATAACCCATTCAAATAACGACCTCATTTGCATAATTTATTAGAAAATGCTGGAACGTAAACGATCTTCCAACCATGTTAGACCCACGATCATGTGACCCTCCTTTCCTAAAAGACACTTCTATTAGTAGCTTATTCTGGGCCGACGATCTCGTCCTCTTATTATGGGTTCACCACACCACCATATTGCTTTTTCTGATGTTTCTTCTTCTTCTTCTCCTGCCATTTTTTAAATGGATTCAGCTTCTTCATTTTAGGGCCTAAGGTCCTGAAATTTGGTATGGAGGTACAGTGGGCAAATACCCCTAGGCGTTTTTTAAATTATTGTGATACAGGCTTTTAGAATGGTTTTATTTGAGTTTTTTGGCTGTGTTATAGCAAATGTATTACTGTGTTAGTTTGCCTTGTTTACCACGTTTGGGCATGAGTCATGACAATGGAATGCAGGGCATCAACCAATAGGCATGCAGCTTTCCTCTATACTTCTTGCTGATTGGCTGTTGGGATTTAACTTGATTAACACCTGCACAGAAGCATTTCCATACTGACAGTATGTCTGTATTCAAGTGTTTTGGTAGGTATTTCAAGCTTTCCTGCTCCAGCATTGGAATGCCGGGCATGGACGTTTTTTTTTATTTTGAAAATCAACAGTTTGCATTATGCAATTAAAAATCCTAACCAATAAAGTAGGGAATAGCTATCCAACTGTTGTTTTAGTTGTATTTTACTTCATATTATAGTTATATCAATGTAAATCATTGTTTTACCTTGTGTTTCTCATTCTTTCCCTGCCATGTGGTAAAATGTGGTGAACCCATCGCTGTATTTGCTCCAAAGCAAATATTGGCCTTTCTAGTCTAAATCTGAGTCAGGACTAAAAGAATGCCTAAGAACACTGGATCAATTTTGTTCATTCTGGAAACTATCAATAAATGAAAAGAAAACTAAAGTAATGATTTTTTCCAAAAATGGACGGACTAGTAATAGCAAACAATCTCCATATAAAATACAAGGCAGAAATATTGACATAACAACATCATACACCTACTTAGGAGTCGACTTCACCCCCTCTTGCTCATCTAATCGCGCCACCAAACAACTAAGGTTAAAAGCTCTCCGAGCCTCCTTCAAATTAAAATCAATGCTCTCATCGAACTCTAATCCTTCCATTCCACTCGCTTTGGATTTGTTTAATAGCTGCATAAAACCTATTCTACTTTACTGTGGCGAAGTTCTAGGAACAAATATATAAGCTAGAGACCTTTTTTTCCACGGGATTAGAGAATGTCAGAATGAGAATATTAGAGAATTAATAGCCCAGACCTTTAATGCGGCACTCGGGTCCGAAACCCACATGCATATACTTAGAGCTTACCGTATTGGTAATAGATATGACCCTTCCTCTACCCGCCCTGTCCTTGTACGATTCAAAAAATACAGTGACAAACTAAATATCTTATATCAATCACGCGTATTAAAAGACATGAACATAACACTCGAACAACCAACGATATCCTATGAAATCCCCGATCTGGAGTTTGTACTATTAAATTACTGCAAAATAGCACTTGGCGTACCCAGAAGCTCCGTTAACGCCGCCGTCAGGGGTGAACTCGGGGTATTCCCACTATACCTCGATTCACAAACACAATTGATAAAATATTGGCTTGGCCTACATAGTCTACCGAACGACAGGATCGTTAAGAAAGCTTATATAACTTCCGTTGAACTACAACAAGACTGGGCTGTCCATGTTCAGGACATGCTTTGTATGCACGGATTTCAAAATATATGGCTAAATCCCTCCGTTAATACCAATCAGTTTGGGCATATCTTTAAAGATCGTCTACAAAACACATTTCTCTCTGGCTGGAGACAAGGAATCAAAAGTCTTACCAAACTCAATACCTACTGCAAAATTAAAACCCAATTCTGTTTGGAAAACTATTTTTTATCAATTCAAAACAAATCATTTAAAAAGAGCATTACAAAACTTAGGATTAGTGCCCACTCTTTGCAAATTGTAAAAGGTCGCCACTGTAACACACCAGCCAATGAGAGACTGTGTCCCACGTGTCATAAAGGCGTTGAAAACGAATTACATTTCATAATAGGTTGCCCACCCCATAATGAAAACCGACGAAAATTGTTATAACATATTACATGTAAAACCAATATAACACTACCCCATACAAAGACACTATCATGCCCTGTCAACATTTCCACTTATGTAGGCCAATTTGTACACAATTCAATGACAAAACGAGAAAACGTAATTAATTCCTGACACAATTTATTACTACATTGTATTAATAGAGTTAGATTAGTATAATTAGTATTTCTCTTTTGTTATACATTGTTTATGAAGCAGACCAGATTCCTATTACAGTTAGTAGAACTGTTAGATTTTTTTCAACACCACCATATGTGTATGTTAACACCACAAACTATGTATGTATCATTTTGCCATACGTTGTACCCGCTACATCTGTTGCCCAATAATCTTCTTGTATAGGTATTCTTCGATCAGATAAGGGGGCACACCCCAGTTTATTTGGCGTCTCTATTCGAAGCTGCACACCCTCAAATCTAGCGACCGTCTCTGCTGTGGAATAATTCGGAAGGAGAATAACTGTATATGAGACGAAATGATATATCTTCAGCTACAAGACCAGCTGAGTTTGGTTTCTTCAACCTTTTTAAGTTTGGTAAAATCAACGGAAAAAACATTATTTTCACTCCAAAATTAGCGCAAAAAATTGCGAATTTTCCCATAGGATAATCCCATAGAAAAAAAAAATTCCGGCAGAAATGACTGATGCTGGCAGAAAGACCCAAACCCTGACTATACCCGAGTAAATTATAAAGAGAATTCTAGTACTGAAATTTTTTTAACCGTCTACGGCGTGAGGGGTTAGCCTCCTTTTCAGGCGTTCCCGGAGCGGTCTTTTTTTCTGGGGGAGGGGTATTTTCTGACTTAACGTAGATCGCACGCAATAGAAGCTCCGCGAGGAACGATTAACATCATCGCGAGAAGCAATTCACACGTCCATGTTTACAGCTAAAGTGGCCCACGGGCTTGGGAGGATGGGCTTAGTTGTACCAAATCCACATAGGTCCTGTACCAAAACAATAATTTCATCCGCTCCTTACATCGCCCAAACAAGATTTTGAAATACTGAATTCCTCAGTATGATATCATATCGTTCTTCTGCAGGTTATTGTAAACTTTTTAGGGCGCATTCTCTGTTACTTAGAGCTTCGCAAGGATTTCTTGCCATGCCTCGGACAGAAATGCCGGACGGATCACACGCCCAACAACAGCATGTTACTTCATTTCAGAATTTGTCTCTTATTTCTCGCACTGTAATCTTGGCAACATTTTATTCGCCGTGGACATCACACTTTTATGAACCTAGAGGATTCCTCCTTGGTGTATTTTTCGTGTGTTTTATCACGTTTTATCAGAAAAACGAAAAGGTGAATAAACATTTCGGATAAGCATCTTATTCGGGGCTTCCATATAGACATGGGCTAAAAGCCCGAATAATAATAAGCTCTTATTCGACCCCTAAGTATCTCATAGCAGCCCTAAAAAGATCAAGATACAGTCATGCCTTCAAATATCAGAGTTGTCACCTAAGATTGCGGTGTTGAAAAACTCGTATTTCCCAAAACTATCGTAGAGTGGAACTCGTTGCCACCAAGCACAGGTGACACATTTTAATATGCAGTTCAGTTTTATACAAAGTTGCGGCCTCCTGTACCCACCTATAGCTACACAGCTGTGCTGACCAGACAGGTAGTACCCGGTGTTACAGCTGCAGCTGTAGCTACCTGCCGTATTGGCACACAGGTGGTCACATCCCCCGTTACCAGACCTGCACTCGTTTATATCTACCCAGAGGAAAACAAAAACACAACATCAAAAGAATTATATTATAAAGAATCAAGCAGCAGCTCTTCCCCGCCCGTCTCAACTAGGTTCCCCGGAAGGTTTTGCACGACGGACATTCAATTATCCCTACTGCGATTTCGTAACATTCCCACCGGGCGGCCTGTTGAGCTGGGCGGGGCCCTGAAGAAAGCCTGCCCAAACCAAGATAGACTGGATAGCTGGCTACGTTAGAACCAGACGTACACAAGCTCGTTTATATTATTACATGTACATGGGGTAAAAACAAGAACACGTCATCAAAAGAATTATATGCTTACATTTCTTCTCTTCTAGTGCTTTTAGGTATACCATTGAGGTATATAAACATAACGGGTTAGGGGAAACTACTAGTCTCCACCAGACTTCTTTTGCGCCCGCCCGATTGTATTGTCAATGGCCGGCTACCTTCTCCGATTTCTACGATGTATTCAGCCCGCAAAAAAAAAACTAGGGAACTACCACTTATGTTGCTGAATGACCTCTTCAAAAAGGGACCATACTGCACTATGGAACAGGAAGTATCGTTGGGATTATGTGAAGATACTACCGCAGGTGAGAGGTGGTTACCTGTACAGGAGTGTTGTCCAGACAGACTGTAGCCGGTGTTACAGCTGCAGGTGTAGCTACCTGCATTGTTGTTACACATGTGCTGACATCCTCCATTGTTCGTTGAACACTCGTTGATATCTGTATACGAAAAAAATAATAGTGCTGAAAATGTAATCAAACGATTTTACCGAGTAGGTTGTTTCCTGTGTATATGTCTATAGATTATATAGTTGATGGATGAATAGAATATCTCGCCCCGGGGCAAACATAAAGTCCTAACATGAAAAGTATCAGCATTATAGAAGTTCCTTTAGTTATCAATTATGAAAATCGTATTCAGGATAGTTACGCAGTTAACTACCTTATAATCAATACCTATTTCAAGCTTTATCAGTTATTTGCATGCACATGTATGTATGTACCGCTTGTTTACGAATTTAGGAAACCTACATGTACTGCAGTTACTGTGGTTGGCACTGTACATGCGTGGAAAGAGTCGCAGCGATGAAAACGTACCGTTACACACCCTCCAGTGTCGGCCGCTGCCAGACGTCCCTGCGTCCGCCCTGACGCACAGGTAACCAGCGGTACATCCCCAATTTCGGCACGCCATTGTAGACAGGTACTCTTGCTGCGACGAGGATATGTATCATTTGTTTCTATCCATCAAAGAAGAGAGGCAACAATTCTCTCCATTTAGAGAGTCGGTGCCGTCGATCTTAACTTGAATAAAGCATATTTCTCCTTAGGCCATGTTGATTATATAGATGTCATCCCGCCGTTTCAAAAAAAAGTCGACCATACTTTTGTAAATTGTACAAAGCAGTGACAAAACGAGCAAATGTATACTGTAGATTGCAAAAAAATATTGAAAAAAAACGACACTAATGCCGTACAATGCCGAAATCAATTCCAAAGGAAAAGAAGAAAATCTAACGAAATGAAAATTAAGAGCCTAATAGTATTGTTTCCGATACCATACTCTGTGTGTTTGGTTATTTGTTCAACCTTCATGATCACATGCATAAAGTGCATAATGAAGACATAATGTTCTATTCGTACACTCGCATCAGTTTTGGGGTTCCCAGTCATCCATATAATCAAATCATTATGGCCTTATCAAGCTACGGATTTTTCATGAATTAAGTCTCTAGATTTGACAATAGTCTGGAAATAAAATCATCGCATCTTGCTATCCATACCAATAATAGTTCCATAGTAAGTAAGGTGTCTGTTGATTGATTGAAGAATGGACGACTTACCGATCTTTCGGTGCTCCATAAAGCCTCGCGGACTTCTTCAAAGACACAGCCTTCGCCATAACATTCCTCATGTAACGTCCGCTTCTTTCTCGATGACCTCTCAAGAAAACTGTTGGCCTCTTTTTTGGTCCAGAAGGGCGACAAGACGTCGTTGATATCATCAGCCTGGTCATTCGCCGATAAACTTAAAAAAATAGCATACGTGTATATTAAAGCAAAAATATCTCACATTGGTATCGTTTGCTCTAAGCGTTTACGATTATACCATCAAGCAGCAAATACCCTATAGATGTTGTATATCAAAACTACAAGGGCGATAGGTATTCATATACTTTTATATACACAGAACAGTTTTTATTAACACGTACGTCAACTACCGATGCAGGTGTGGTGTTGCCCCATGTTGTCCATTTTTCAAAATATAATTCTTACCCCAGTGCTTATAATTACATAATGATCCTTAACTTGAACATATTTCCAATGCTTATATAAACTATATATAGTGCATCGTTATTATGGTTATCAAGACATCCAAAAGAATGATACTAGTATTCAAACTTACCACAAAGCTGTGTGCAAGAATGTTGTCAGGCAGTACAGAAGCAACGGGTGGGTAGTTTTAATGAGCCTCATGTCTGTCTGTAGATGGTAACAAACGTTTTGAGTCTCAGTATCAGAGTTTTTGTAGCGGTCGAGCAGTTTTACATCTATCTCTATCACGTCACGGGAATGTGCACGGTGGTAAAATCTGGGCTGCAAAGTTCCCACATGTCATAGAACCCGAACTGTGTTCGATCGTGTTCGATCTGGGCAATTCGAATCGAACCCGCGTTCTATGTCGGGGTCACCTGCGGCCATTTCACTATAAAGCGGCAAAACAAGCCTTTCTACCTCCGTTCATTGCAATCATGGAGGTAGAAATGTTGCAACAGATAAAAAACAACACTTTTCTATAGATACAAACAGTTTCCTGGACAGTACATGTCCGCTAGCACTGCACGAAATCAGGTATTTAAGCAGTCTTAAAGCATGCTTAAAGGTTCCGTTTTGGCACTCTTTAAGCAAATTTAAGCCAATCTTTACGCGTGCTTAAATATTACTTTTAATCTAGCTTTAAGTTTGTGCGTATAGTGCTTAATGGCACTCTTTTAAGCAACATTTAAGCACTGTAAAGTAAGCTTAAATCTCAATATTTACGCTACATTTAAGCGTCTTAAGTTAAAGTGTCCGTAAATACAGTGATTTAAGCTAGCTTAATTTATCCGTAAAGTGCCTAATGGCACTTATTTAAGCAACTTTTAAGCACTGTAAAGTAAGCTTAAAAATCGCAATGTTTACGCTACATATAAGCACCTTAAAGCGTTCTTAAATTCTGTAATATACGACAAACGGTACGCAAAATTTATTCAACATCCTTTTTATTCTTTTTACATGTATTCACATATACACATATGACCTCCTTCGGGCAGCATTCACATATAACAGTCAAAAACAAGAAAGCTGGTTAAAGCTCATTTTTAAAAGGTAATGTACTAGGTTAATCACACAAACAGGAAGAAAATCAACAAACTTGTTTTAGCCGCAAAAATATTCTACAATTACGAAAGCTTAACAATTTGTTGAAAACACATTAAAACTGAAAGTCTGTCTGCATAACATTGCTTGTAGATGTTCAAAATTATTAAGGCAATACTACAATAAAAAGCTGTTGTTCTGTCTGCTCATGCTTATCTAGATCACCAGCCGTTTGCTGATAGCCCCCTTCTGTCTGGGAGGCTCCTCGGACACCTGCCGACGAGTGCCCGGCTATCCTCTACTAGGCTTGGGGAGGCGGCCGGAAAGAGTAGAAATCGGTCAAATAGAGAGATAAGCATGCCAAGGGAGTTTGTCTCAACGGAGAACTCCCTTGGCTTGTCCGTTGAGACAAACTCCCTTGGCATGCTTATCTCTCTATTTGACCGATTTCTACTCTTTCCGGCCGCCTCCCCAAGCCTGGTAGAGGCTAGTGCCCGGACCTCACTGGTATTACATACAGCGTCCAGGGATAGCCTCCTGTGTAGACTTTTAGCTGGCCGGCGTTTGTTTCTACCAGTGGCTAGAGCGGCTGTTTCCTTTTAGTGGGACATCCGCGCAGGCGGATATACTGTAAATCTTGAAATTGTGGTGGTTTTATTTTCGCCAGCCCATACACATACCATATATAGTAACTACTTACTAACGGTGACCACCGTTATATACTAACTAATAAGCTAAGAGGCTCTCTTCACCTCCTAGGATGTGACCGTTATTAGTAACCTCACTGCTTTACTATAGAAAATAAACGGTCGGGTGTAGTCCTCGCGAGAGTTGTAAAATCCGTCGCGAGATAATGCGAGACTAGACTTGCGGTTGCCGGCTTGGCTGAAATGGACGACAGACGGGACGGCCTGGCGATTTATATTTTCTCTTCATCTCTACTCTGACCTGGACCAATTCCTGGACCATTTATAGGCTACTACATATTCTGCAGGTTAGTCACTAGCTCACTGGACTCTCAGTCCTTGTTGTTTAAGTGCTAAATCCGCGTTGCGTTGAGGCACGACTGGGCTGTTTTCTCTCAATTCTTCGCAAATAGCCAGTGAATATGTTTGGATATGTGGCTAGCAGCCAAAAGAAGATTTTAGTAGTCAAATATCAACTGCCTATGTAATACATTTGATTTGGTAATGGTATATATATATACGTATACGTAGGTGTGTGTCTGTATGCTGTGTTGGGGGTGGGGGGCGACATTCAAATGTACGCGCGCCCGGGTGATTCCATTCCAGAATGGGGTTGGGCAGCTACTCTCCAAGCAGAGGTTTGGGTTTTGGGGGTATTTTTAGCGTGTTTTTATGCTTTTTTATCGGGGTTTCTCTTTTGCACTGAATTTTTTTCCCACCAAAGTTTGAAAATATGCTAAAAATACCCCCAAAACCCAAACCTCTG